TCCTCTGAATTTCTTCAATCTTCCGTCTTGGATCCGGAATTGGCTTCCATCGTCAGAGCTTAGATCCGAAATTGGCTCTCGCCGTCAAAGCTTCCTCCTCCATTTTTACCTTTAAGAGATCCATTTACCGAAAACAACGTTCCCTGAAACAGAGAATAGGACAGCTTGAAACAGAATCGAAACCCCGTACTCAGGTCCACATTGAGTCGCCCTACCAATTCAGGTCTCATATTGGATAAGAATCTAGTAGTAAGACCCGGATTTTCCCATAATTAGACTGCATTGGATTACCTGACCAATGCAGGTCACATATTGGATAAGAGGACCCGGATTAACCTGGATGTTCCGGTAACTAGACTGCATTGGGTTGCCCGACTAATTCAGGTCTCATATTGGGTAAGAGTCCAGTAGTAAGACCCGGATTTCCCCGTAATTAGACTGCATTGGGTTGCCTGACCAATACAGGTCTCATATTGGGTAAGAGGACCCGTAGTAAGACCTGGATTTTCTCGTAATCAGACTGCATTGGGTTGCCAGACCAATTCAGGTCTCATATTGGGTAAGAGTCCAGTAGTAAGACCCAGATTGGATTCTCGAAATTGGATCGAATTGGCTCTTATTATCCAATTGGTACTTATATGTTCTAAAAGATGAAGTTTGATTATATATTCTTCAAGCTTATCATGACTTTCTAGTAGTAGAATATTTTGGATACAATCAGACTTTGGAACTAATATTTAGGAATTTTTGGTGGCTCCAAATGTGGAAGGCAATTAAAGATTTTATACAATCTTGTGATATTTGTTCAAGATCAAAAACTCCTTATCATTGATTTTTTAGACTTTTTTAGCTATTACCTATTCCAAAACAACTATAGTCTCCTATTTCTATGGATTTTGTTATGGATCTTCTAGTTCCAAGTTTTTATGACTCTACATTTATGATAGTAGTTCATTTCACCAAGATGACATATTTTGTATTAAATATAAAATCTATTACAGGTAAAGAAATAGCTAAGTTTTTTCTTAACAACATCTATTGCTATCATGGATTGTCTAAAGATATTATATTGAATAGGAGAACTCAATTGATATCAAGATTTTGGAGAATGTTTTTTAAGATTTTAAAGATAGACATAAAACTATCTTTGTCTTTCCATCCTCAAATTGATGGACAAATACAGCATGTAAATCAAGTTTTTGAACAATATTTGAAGCATACCATCAACTACCAATAAGATGATTGGATAACTCTTTTATCATTGCTATAGTTTGCTTATAATAATATTGTACATTCTTCTATGTAACAAATATCTTTATTTATTAATTATAATTATTATCCATAATTTGATATTTTTGACTTTTCAAAAGTTGATAATCTTATAATAAAAGATTTGACAAATTATTTATTTGAGCTACATACATCAATAAAGACATGACTAAATGAGACTTGAGAACAACAAAAAAGTAATATGGATGCATATTGTAAGAAACAACTTCATTTCTATGTTGGTGATAAGATATAGTTACTTCATTATAATAATAAAACTATTTGTCCTTATCACAAATTGAATTACCATAGACTTGGATCATTTCTTATTTGTAAATAAATCAATTTAGTTGCTTATTGATTACATCTATTAGAGTCTATGAAAATCCATCCCAAATTTTATGTATTTCTTTTAGAGCCATATAAAACAATGAACATCTTGAAAAGAAGACAAATACCATTACATCTTATAAAAGTAGATAATAATAAAGAATTCAAGGTGGAAGAAGTCTTAGACTTGAGGCGATACCAATTTAGGTTGGAATATCTTATTTATTGGCATAGATACAATATTAGCAAATGTACATAGGAGCCAATAAAAAAATCTTATAAATACAGCAGAGAAAGTCAATGCTTTTCATTAAAGACAAATATCAAAATCAAGATGAATGATAGAAAACCTTTTGTTTTTTATCTTTATTTATAATTTTTATATAATTTTGATATTAAAAAAATAAAGAACCAATAGCCAATAGATTCAACTCAAGAACCATCATTTATTGACTTATTACATGAGATATTACAATTATTACAACCTTCAAGATAATATAATAGTAATGAAGACCTTCAAGAATAATATGTTCTTCTTCAAATAGATGGCAAGATATAATATGTTTGGTATCACTACTTGGAAAGAAAGTCTAGATATTTGGTGATTTTATTGGAAGTAGGAACAATTTCTAATGATGTTACAAATATTTTGTTTGAAAGAAGTTATAAAGGTTTTAACAATGATCAAATAATAAGATATTCTTCCTATCCTAAAATAAGATATTATCAATAGCTAAAAAGACCTATTAACTACCTTCAAAGAAAACTAAGATCAAATTATGTGGGAAATGTAATTTGCTACATCTTAAACTTTTTCGATATATAATCACCACTCCTTATAAAACTTGTTTTTAGAAGGAGAAGTAATGTCACAAATATATATTTACTATAGTTGTTATCTTAGTAATATAAATAGGTAGAAGTAAGTAGAAATAGATTAATTTTATAATATCTTCTAATCAAGCTTCTTAGAAGCTTTATAGATGCTACTTTGATTTTACATGTATTTGTAGTTAATTGATAGGTTAAAAACTTGGGCAATAAATTCACCACATGTCACATGTATTGGTAGCTTACAATATAAGTTAACTATATAGCACCCATGTCTTTTAGAGGTCCTATAGAATGTCGCTACATAATTTTTATGTAGATAATATATATAGAAGTAAGAGTGAACCCTTCTTTACTCTTGTCAATTCTTTTCTTGTTTCTAGTCTAATTTCAAGAGTCTCTAGTTTTCTTATTTTTTGGCAATGGCCATTTCAATTTCTTTTTAATATACATACTTTTTTTTTTTTTTTTTTTTTTTTTTGAAAAAAATCTTTCTTATTTATTTGCTTTCATCAAATTCTTGTCCTTGATAATAGACACTTATAAAGGCAAAGCCTCATTTACAAAGCTTTTAAGAAACTTCTTTATAAATACTATCAAATTTATCTATTTTTACCTACTTCTACCTACTCGTAAACATTAGAATAAATATAGATGTTTTTGACATCTATTGAATTATGCATATAATGATTGTTCTTGTAAAAACATTTCATTGAAATAAAGATGTACACTTCCTTATGCATTTCAATGCATGAAATGCAACCAAATAAAATCTATCTCTAAATGTAGCTTGTGAATTTGGTTGGCCTCTTCATTCATTCCAGTTTGTAATAAAGTCGAAGTCAATCTTTATATCTCTTGTGTTACTTTGATTTAAATTAAGTAAAGCAAGCTCTTCCATGTGAATTGTACAAATAATGTAGGCTCTTTGTTAGTGATCTTTACTTTATTTCATAATCAAGTGAAGGACTAAGTATTATGAAACAAGCACAAAGTATCACCTCAATCTAAAGCATAACATTTTCATTCAAAAGTGGAGAGCCTTAAGTGGAATAAGATTAGCAAGCTCGGATTGAGTTTTCTAGGCATGCTAGACGTGAGTAAAGCTCACTTGCAAGCATGACTCAGATTAGACGGACTTGCAAGCTTGTAAGGAACAAACCTGTGATACAATTGCACAACTGTTGAAAAGAAGTTTTGGACCCCAGTCTCAACTCAAATTGTGTTGCACGTTGAGTTGATTGATGGAGATTGAGTTCACATCAAATTTCGGTTGAGATGGTTCACATGAAGGTTATAATTTCTCTCTTTTTCACGACCATGACTGTTTGTGGATTTCTCAGTTCAAAGTCCACTTCATTTAGGTCCAATGTGAGGCTAAAGAATTAGTATTGTCTTCAAAATTGAGTCGCTGATATTAAACCTAAATTGAATTCTAGTGTAATCTCGTGGGTGCATAATGCAGATTCTCTGGAGTCTTGAATATGTATCGATGCAAAGTTGGGAGGATTCAATGTGGAACTGTTACATTCTCGCAATCCACATTGAGGGATTTAACAAATTTCCTGCGAGAATACTTTTTTTCTGTAATGGAGACAAGAGGTGATTATTATGGCCTGTGATCACTGATAGACACGCGTTCAAAACAACACCTCTCATAGGAAGTTCCAGTATTAAACTTCAAATATTTTGCTGGATGCTGAATAGTACTTTCCTGTCAATTATCTCTTAAGCTCAAATCATGCACAAATAGAGTGGAACCTTAGATTAGAAAACCATGCTTTTGTTGACATCGTCAACCATTTAGAATCCTCAAAGTTCGTGCGGGCGTCAGGCGTGAGTTGGTGAAGAGCCAAAAGTGGGTTGTAACGATGCAGTCGTTGCAGAGCTATCGTGGGTTCAATGCTACTCGAAGCCACAATCAGTGTCGTTGCCTCTCTGCACACCCTCCCATAACCTGGAATTTTCAACTTCAAAATCGGTACGTGCGTTCATGTCCAGAGCAAATCGAATGATTTCGAATTCAGTCCTTTTCCTGTCCTCGCCTTTAGAGAAATCTATCTTCTCGAGCTCGTGTGAGAGGATGCCGGACCTTGGCACCAGGCTTCTACTCCAGAGCATGCCAAACTTTGTTCGTGAAGCTTTGTCTCACTCCAGAGGGTGTCAACGGAGTAAGAAATCATGGTGGAACTCCGGCTCTACAGTGAACTTTGAAAGAAATCCCCTATGCTTGAATAAAGTGATGGGGGAGCAAGAGGACACATTGGACATTGAGCTTCGCCTCGGCCAAAGCTCAAGTGTTGTTTAATCCTCCTCAAGTTTCGAGCTTCTACATAGATTGCACGAGCATTGCAGTCACGGGAGACAATGTTCATCAGGGATCGATTAGGTTTCAAAAACTTTTCCGGAGAAGCCAACACCACATTCTTCAAGTCCTAAACAGTCTCCTCAATGGATCACGTTCCATTGCGGTCAAAATGCTTTAATGTCGTTAGCAAGATTTGACCAGTTTTTGCATCAGTTTTGCAGAGTTAAATACTTCAACGCGCTGGAGTGAATTAGTCACCGAGTGCATCCAAAACGATCAGTATCTTAGTCAGGAAATTCAACAAAGACAGTCGAGAGTTAAACATCAAAGAGGTTTCGCAAGAGCTCAATATTCCAGGTCTTTCAGAATATTCCTTGCAACAAGTAAAACTTTTCGAAAGGAAACTCTCGCTTAACTATGAACAATCTCAAACTTCCTTTTTGGAGCACAATGCTTTGCATGCAAGCAATTCCTGGGTTCCTGGGTTCTGGCACATGGCACAGTTTCTAGTATTGAAGCAATTCTTATTTTACGTCACCAGCTAGCGTTTAGTCGCGAGACTTCGAATACGATGTACTATATTTGATGCCATATAACTTCACCAATTACCTGACAGTCAGTGTAGTTATTATATGATGCTATTATCGTTGGTCCCTGCTGCCCATGATATCAGTCACTGCTAAGATGGGCCCAATTGACGTGCTGCTCAGAATCAGCTTCAAAGAGTATTAGTAGACATGTTTGAAGTATCAAATCAAATTGTAGCTGGTGGATATAAATACACACATCTTGAGACGCACAATTGCGATAACATTTACCCGCACCGTGTGCAGGGTTCTCATCGACTTGGAAAAGTGTCGGATTAAGATATGTGCTATTTGAATTGCTCAATTTTCGAAGCTGCCTGGTTCCACAACCTGATTTCAGAATTGTTCTCGAAGAGTTTCCATTCATCCCCGACCATACAGAACATTGGGATCCCTGACTTCCCTGGGAAATGGTAGCTCAAATCGCTCCATCACCGCACACTCGGCATTTCCTTCTTCTAAGACTGCGAGTTTCTTGCCACAAGAGCATTTTGGAGATGATAGTGGCCTTGGATGATTTTCGGGTAATAAGACAGGCTTTACTGTTGGAGGCACCAGAAGTGGTTTCTGCTCCACTTGTCTGTGGTCATGCTCAGTAAATGCTAGGAAGGCAACCACACTCGCCACCACTAAGACGGCCTTTGCAGCATGGGCAAGTGCATGTCCAACCCTCCCACGTAGACCCTTCATGAATCCTCCCGCAAAATCAATACCTCTTACTGCAACCACTTTATGATCCGAACTTAAGACTGGTTCTTGAGAGTCCTGTTTGCCATTTCTGTCTAGTGGTACGCCCTTACATCCATCGTCTTTCTTATCTACTTCATTTCCCCTAGAGAGCGTTAGCATTTTGTCAGCTCGATCTTGAGGCAGCGAAATAAGTTGAGAGAGATGTTTGGATGATTGGTCGTCCACTTCAATGGCTGCATCCAAAACTGGCTTGGAGTACGGCGGAAGGAGAAGATCGTCTTTTTCTTCCATTGGCTCACCTGCAAATGCTAAGGCTTCATGTACAACTTCCCATTCTCGCCCTTTATGGTTCTTCAACCTGTGAAGGAGTAAGTGACGATTTTCTTCGAGTTCTGCAAGTATGGCATCCTTTTCGACTCTCTGGTGACTTTGCGTTGACTGAGAAACAAAATCAGTTGCTTTAGTCAAAGGGAAAGTTTAAGAGTTCAGAGCTACAACAGCATGGACGATATGGAAGACCTTTCTTGAATGACGATACGAGCACCTGACAAGACATAACATTATAGTGCTCCTTCGACCCATTGAAGTATTCACCCTATATGTTCTTAGCTGTAGTCTGAGAGCTTGAAACCTTTCTACTGATTGTATTATGCAAATTACGAAAGAACATCTCATTGTGATGCTCCTCAAATGAAAGTCCGACTTGCTCTTCATAATCGCGGGTTACAATCCAAACAGACATCCTTGCCATTCCTAGGAATGGCACGTCACATAGAAACCACAAACGCTTGTCAAGGGATCAAACTCTTTGCAGAGCGTAAGAGTTATCAACCCTACTGTAAAATTAACAAAACCTCATCCAGTAGAGAACGATGAAGATTTCATGCTCTAATATGTACGTCATTTTCAAGTTTTGTGCGTTGCATTGGGGTCGGTTTCAGTGCTCGCCACTACGATTCTTCCGGAGTGCTGACAATGTCCCTATGAAAAGCCATCATACGACGTTTTTGACGTTGACATCCTATAGGCAACAATGTCTCACGAGAAAAACCAACTCAACCTCAACTACAGGATAGATGGAGAGAGTTGTCTTCTGAGAACTGTCGAGCGCCGTTACATGCAAACTGTCGAAACCAATCTCTCAATTGCAGACATAACCTTGTAGGGCTTCATGCATTCAAAATAATCCGCGGCTCAGGAATAATATGTAGTTTAAGTTATTGGGAAAATAAACAAGGACTCCAAAACTCCAACGAAACAAGAGAAATGCACCTGCTCGGACATAATACATGAAAAGTCGCCGGTAAAATTCCAGAAGACCGAGAGACGACTCACGCATGTCTCGCATGAAAGAAAGTGCAGTGTAAAAAACACGGTAGTGAGAACTGAGCAGAAAACCTGTAAAGCTTCAAGCTGGTCTTCAAGCGTTTCTAAAGCATCGCGAATCAAGCCTAAAGCCCTTGCCTCCACATTCTGATCTCCACCTGTACTGGCCTTGCCACAATCTCCACCAAACCTCCCATAGCCATCCTTCTCACCCGCGTCACTCACAGAGGACAAACTAGAATCGAACATCCGGCTGCAAGTCGTTCGCATAAACTCGGACTTCAACGCTCGCTCAATGGCCTCACTAATCTTGGCATGAAGCTCAGACGCCCTTTCCAACACCAAGCGTATCTCGTCCGCTTCCATTCCCTCACCGTCCCTTCCACGAGAAACCAGAATCTCAAAACAAAATCAACACAATCAAGAAACTCGCCAACACGTCCGCACCTACTCCTCAATCATGCAATCGAGTGCATGAGCCGCACTTCGACAGCCACCCTTACTCCATCACGGCAACTATGAAAGACGAGCAGAGTTTCAACGCGATGTCAGAGGTGCAAAGCCTAGCAAGGGCATGATATCTCCACAATTCATTCCGCAGTCATCATCGTCTTCCCAGCTTCCGTTTCCTCCGCCGCTAAAAGAACTCCCTGGCTGTATGCGCATCAAGACCTGCCGCTCGAATTTCAAATGCTGCGATCACGCGCTGCCGAACACGCCACAAGTTTACGAAAACTTGGTGAGTTTGGAGACTGAGAGATTTAAGGCGGCGAAAAGGGCGGCGATGGACAAGCGAGGCTGCAGCGTCAGTTCGCAGACACAAAGCGACTGTCGGGGACGATGGAAACTGAAATGAAATAAGGGTTAGGGTCAGATTCTCAGTCAACTCTCTAGTTAATAAAGTTATCAATATTTCATTATAAATCAATTTTAAGTAACTATAACTCTATTCGTTAAAATTGGTTGGATATATATATATATATATATATATATATTTATGATTGAATATTAAATATTAGTTATGGTGGATGGTGTTGTAATATAACTAGCAGATAGGTAGTTACATACGTGAAAATAGATAAATAATAGCCTACATCTATGCATTACCATAGAAGTTTGGCGAATTAAGTTTAGAGTAATAGTCACAGTGGAAACCAATTAAAAAAAACCTCAATAAAAAAATAAATAATATATAGATATATATATATATACACACAAATAACACATTTTATGCCAACTTTATATTAAAATACCAAAAAAAGAAACACCATTTTGTGAATTCAAATTTTAAAAGAGCATAAATAGTAACGACTGAAGACACCAACCCTGAAGTCAGCATGAGCAACAGAAGCAACAGGAAGAATGGAAAAAAAACAAATCAGGCTGCATTTGGGTTATGGTGGCAAGCATCTGGAATCTAACTCGTAGCGCGCATAAAAGCTGTTAGTTTGTCGCGCAATGTTCCCGCGAGAATGTGAGGGTGTGAGTGTGGATCCCCGGTGTTTTATCGATCTCAAGTTTCGCGGTGACGTTCAAAATCTAGTGGCTATGGCACCTGTTTCTGTGACCTGTTTGACGAGATTCTCCCAGAGTTGCTGCCCACAATCGCAAGGGCTTTGGAAAAGAATTTCGGTTGGGTTTCTGTGTAGCTCTGTCATGGTAATGTCTTCTGGTTGGGCTTCTGCCGTCGAAGCAGTTCAAGCTTCCCCTTTATCCGATTACGTGGTCGCTGTGTTCACTTTGACTGGGGCTCTCGGAATATTACAATTTTTTGACGAACTAGCCAAACGCGATTTCTTAGAGAAGGTGAAACTTGCCTCTGCATTTCTGCAACTTTTCCTCATTTTGAGGCTGTGTCACTTCCTGCGATATCATGTGGCTCGATACGCTTGTTTTGTGCCTCAACACAGCACTCTCATAACTGTCTCGAAGCCCTAGTTCAAGAAGTTGGGTGTGAACTTGAAGCTTGTGCTGCAGACTCTATTGCTTTGAGTTTGTTGCTGCGTTCTCTGGAAAACCCCGAAAGTCCTTGTGAATGTCCTGATTTGATAGTCCTGTTGGTATATGCAGACGTTGAGTCGAAAGCTCTGCCACATACTGTCTGGGTTGGTGTTTATGCTGTTCTGGCCTCTTTTCAGGTGAGGCTTTGTAACGCTAGATCTGCACTCAGCTTCACTATGGCGAATGCACTAACATAGTCAGCCACACTTTAGAAGCTGAGATGCTAGATGGTGTCTTGCTGGCTCCAAGGCTGACTTTCCTCACCTTTTGTTTCGGTATGTTCCGAAATGTGTGGGTTCATTGCACACAAACTTGCTTAGGGATTCGGTGTGGATAGTAACACTTTGTTCTTCATCTTGCAGCACTGCTCCTCTTGCTAAGTATCTGGCAGCCTTTGCACTTGTGGCAAACGGATTTCGTATGATTGGGTTAGGGCTTGGTCTTTGGAAGAATGAGTCTCTCGTAAAAGCAATAAGCAGAGGAGGCAGCCGAAGGTAATCTTTTGCCAGAGGCTACCAGTTCAAGAGTGTCTGGTTTATAACTCTTTCACATCTCTTACGCTCACCAGTTCTACGATGTTGGACTCCGTTTCACAATTGACAACCCATTGCAGGGAATTGCTGCAGGGTCCCCTTTATTATGCAATTGCAATCTTGGTCGCAACACTTTTTTTCTGGCGAGATTCACCTATTGGCATATGTGCAATTGCAACTTTGTGCGCAGGCGATGGTAAAATCATTTGCTCTGTCATACTTGTTTTTCTGCAGTACAGTCGGCATGCTTGTTCTCGGCTTTTCTATCCATCACACAGAATGTCACTGAAACAGACAAACCATGGCAGATTATCCCACTGCAAGGTTTGTTTTGAAGCTTTTGGTTGTGTATCCCTCCAGTAAGGGCCATCGAGCGTTGAGGCGATGTTAGTTGATGTTGATATGGGTGATGCAGGGTTTGCGGATATTGTGGGCAGAAAGTATGGTAAGCTGAAGTTACCGTACAACAGCGACAAATCATACATTGGCTCTGTGGCTTTCTTTATGCTGGCCTCACTCGCGTCCACGGTGTATGTAACCAACCTCAAAATTCTGTGATGGTAGCAAAATGTTTCTGGATATAGATAAAAGTCCTAAATCTGCCCAGTTTTTACACATTTTAAATTGTATTGTGATTTCGGACGTCTTAATCATTTTTCGGTTGGCCATGAGTTGAATGGTTATGTTGGCTTTGTTTTGAAATATGCAGATACATAGCTATCTTCTCAGCATGTGGGTTTTTCACAGCAACGCCGGGTGTTTATATTACGTCGCTAGCGGTGGCCCTTGCCGGTGCAATTGTCGAGGGTTTGCCTCTCCCAATTGATGACAACTTCACTGTGCCTTTCACTGCAATCGGAGTCGGCATGCTATTGTTTCCTTTTTAAGCACGAACTGCAGTTCACATTCTGTCTAATTGCCATCGCTGCTTTGATTTCATTTCTTCTGCGACACGTGAACTCTAAAGACGTGAATCCCCTTGGATTTTCGACTATTTCTTAAGTCTTGCACATCAAGTTTAGTAGCTTCACAGCAAGCCGCAGTAATTATATGCAGAGCTACCGACATAGTACTCCAAGTGTATGAAGCACACTCTAATGCTACTCCAAGCCAAAAGGACAAGCCGCTTTGCTATAATGACAATGCTGCGAGAGCATTCTATGTTTATTTTATTTCAATTCAATGTTCAAATGAGATGGTTTTCGGGAAAAATTAAGGAGAATCGGTTCAAGTAGGGTATGTACACTATGAAAGTTTAATAATTAATATTAATCTTTAATATTTAATAATATAATTAGTGAAATTTTGAATTAAAATTTATATTAATGTTGTATTCTTAAGTCGGAGTAGATGTTGATTGACTAATAATACCATTTTCTAGATTGTTATGTTTACGAGTTTTTCTTCAAGTTATGGATTCTGGATATTGTGAATGTATGAGTAAAACATGAATAAATATATAAATCAGAAAATATGTGTAAATAATGCTGTCATACACAGAGTAATATACAAGTGTCTTGGGAATGGGGACTTTGAAACATATATTTTTGGATGCAAACATATTTTTCAATATTTGAATTCGTCAAATGCCCTTCTCAAAGTTTCCGAAAAGCTTCAAAGCGTGAATAGAAAAACGATGTAAGTATACCTCATCAACAAGCATAAAGGAACTAAACTATTGTGTTCATCCACCCGAATATCAAGTGGCTTTTTTTTTAATGTAAAAACTCTTCCTAACGTTTTTATATATATATATATATATATATATATCCTGTAAGTTAACACAAATCAAACTCATCGAGACACATGAGGAGCATGGACCCCAAACAAAAGTCTACAGGAAGGCTTTAGACCTAAAAAAACCAGGTTTTATGTGCTCAAAATTATTGTGAAGGAGAGACTTGTCGGCAATCCAAGAGCAGCCTCTTGAAGGCCGTTAAAAGCTGGTATTTGAATGAGTAGGCGTCAAGAATGAAAGTAATTCGTCCACTACCAAGTCCCGCATCAGTGCAAGTGTTGGCAAGAAGGCCAGATGAGTCGGTGGAAATGGTCCGAAAATTCACATTGCGGAATTCTTACCAGTCCAACCCCAAAGCATTCAATTCCATATGTCGAAGCGCTCAAATTGCGGGTCCGACGCTCTCGTCCGCGAAATCGGACGCTACAAAGTTGACGCCACCTGTACAACTGTCTTGTGGAGAATTATGTATTGTTCTATAATGTGGATCGTGCAAGGTCTGTGGATTGAATTGCCTCGTTGCTATCCCAGCGCTTCTTTTCATGCGGTTACAACAAGAGGGTATGGAATGTTACATAAGCATTCCATATATTTTTTTATTTCTGCAGGGTATTGCAAAACCCATTATGTTCTTGTCGCTTGTGAGTTTCATCACAAATGCCAACAAATACAAATGAATGAATATACTATGTCACAAATATGTCTCTTGAATGTGACCCTCTAACTGAATACACATAGAAAAAGTAACAACATTTTTTTATTGATGGGCACGAGAACGATACATTTACTAGTTCGTGATCAAATGAATGTTGTTCATCTATCTGACAGAATGAAATATAGATCTCCAACACCCCTCGCGCTTAGAATTCTCGATAAATCATACTTTGATAAGGTAACGAGATCGAAGTGTTCCTGGTTTTTGGAATCGAGTTACCGGAGGATGTATGCAGGTTTCAGTCGTCGTGATACCCAGAAGTTTTCGCTAGTGAGTCTTTCCACGTGATTTGGAGATGGAGTGTGCAGAGTACAACGAGTGTTTACCCTGGATGTAATGGTTTTGTAAAGCACTAAATTTTTGCAGATTCAGATGCTTCTGTGGAGCTTTTGGTTCCTCTTGGCAACACTTCATTGAGTTTGTCATTGGTGTTTGGATATTATCTTCTTGTTGTTGCGAACTCCTGTGAGCGGTGAAGGTTTTGATGGGGTATAATCGGAGAAGGTGGTTTCTTTGAGAGATAACCTCGGTGATGTCAATAGTCAGTCGAGGTTCTTTGCGGTTCAATATAGACGTTGCCCTAGGGTTTACTACCGATGGACAGATTGCAAGAGACAGGTGATTAAGTTTCGGGGTGCTGTTCACAAAACTTTGACTATGGAGGAAGCAGGGCCCTTTGTGCTAGGGAACTAGGTTTTTTCTAGGATTTTATAAGTTGGATCCCGTTTAGAATTCTGATAATAAGCTTGAGTTTTTTATTCCCATTTTGCTTCTAAGCTTGACAAATCTGTTCTTTCCTATAGCTTTGGTGAAGATATGTGTGATCTGATCATGTGTTGATACGAAAAACAGATCTACTGTTCATGTGAGTAGATTTTCTCGTATGTAGTGTAACCACATTTCTATGTGTTTGGATCTGTTGCGGCACACTGGATTGTGAGCAAATTCTTCACTACTTGTAGGTGTGGAATTCAAGGATTATGCATGAAGCTGCAAAGAATTCCTTTGGCAGTGGAGATTTTTGGTTTTGTATTTACCAAATATATGAGCATTTCCATAAATTTCTAGAAATGCTTTGTATTGATGTGTTGCAAGTCTGCCTCATTGTTGATGTTAAGTCCTTTAGTCATGGATGTAGAGGATGGTGTGTAATCTTCCATAGTCAAGTCCTTCATAATATGGGTGGTGTCTTTTACAATTAAGTTAGGAGAGGAAGATTCTAGTAATCTTTTCCAACATAGGAATCAATATTTTCAAGAATTGATATTTCAAATTGATTCATGAGTTAGTCTTTGATTTAGGTTATTTTGTTGGAATTAAAGCTAGTTGACAAGAGATCATCAATGTAGAGTATGACAATGGTTGTGCCAACACTATCTTGGAGATAGTAGAGATTGTAGTTACTTTTGTTTTGAAAAAATTGTGTATATTAAAAAATATATTGATTTTTTTAAATTTAGGCCCTTCATACTTGCTTCAAGCCATAAAGAGACTTGTTAAGTTGGCATATTTTGTTGAAGTTTGTGAAATTGTAGAAACTATTAGAGATGAGTATGTATATAATTTCTTTTAGATCACCATTTAGGAAAGTGGATCTTATATGGAAATAAAGAAGTGACCATTCATTGTTGGTTGTAAGAAGAATGATCAATCATATTGCTTTCTATTTCATAATTAGATTAAAGTTTTCATTATAGTCAATTATCTAAATTTGTTCAAAGTTGCAACTAGTCTTGCCTTGTGTTTTATTGGTTTTCTATTGCATCGAATTTTGGTTTTGAATGTCTATTTTGTGGTGAGGATGCATTGTGGAAGGTCATAGAGCTTCCATATGTTGTTCTTCATAATGGAAGTACACTTTTGTTCTATAGTCTCTTTCCAATTTGGATCAACATTAATTGCATCAAAACTAATAGGATCTAATGGCTCATGAGTAATACCAAAAAATAATTGTATTCAATTTGTAAGTAGGGTATGATTTGGTAAAGAGAATGTGATTTTATTGTTGTGTTGAGACCATTGCAAGAGAACATTATCCTATCTCTCAATCAAGAAGATAGTTCTTGGATTTGAGTAGGATGATGCCATTGAATAATACCATTTTATATATGAGTATTTCTTGTAGGATGCGTAGATGTATCAAGAACTAGATATCCAATGGCATTGATTAAGAATGCGGTGGGTAGAATTTATTCATTGATGTCAATTGATCTTTTGATATTTAGATTTGATTATATTTTATTTGCATTATTAGATGCAAGTAATAGTGAGTCCTTTGGTTTGATTGGTGTTTCTGCTTTTGTCTTGTTTAAGACATTGGTGCTATTTTGAATAGTTGATAGATTATGGTTTGGTACAATATCTTTGTTTAAGACATTTGTTTTGTTGAAGAATATGTTATTGTATAATAAAACAGCCATTAAATAAAAGAAGAAAGGAAATGTTTTATCATAGAAGAGTTATATTATATATTTTAGCAAAAGTTAGTACAAGAAAATAAGAATTGATATCCTAAAAGGACCAATTGCCAACTAGGATCAAAATTAAATCCAAAGGCACAAAACCGAGCACCTATATTATTTCTAAGGTTTTTTTGTCAATCAAAGAATGAAATTTGAGAATAAACTTGTGAAAAACAATTTGAGAGTTAATTTCATGTCATTTGGATTAATATTGAGGTTTTTAGGGATTTTTTAAGTTAATAATGTACTTGATAGATTTAGATTTTGTGAAATAAAAGTAAGTTCATGAATTTGAAGATTTTGTGAGTTTTGTAGGATATTTATAAGTAAAAATTTGAAAATTTGTTGTTGTGCTTGTTATGAATGTGTGTAAAAAATTTGATGTCAATCAAGCTATTAGATTAAAGAATACGAAAATTTTGTAGGTTATAGTCTTAAAAATTGAGGTTTATAGGATCAATGAGAATTTCTAATATATCTATTAATTTGTTAATTGGATTGAAATATAATTTTATTCAAAGGCACTTAACTTGACTTCCAATAATTCTGAAAATTTTAAAACCAATTTAAAAGTAAAATTAAGAAATCGTGGTTCATAAATATCAATATCAGGGTTGGACAAAAAGGCTACCTGATATCTGAGGGGAATTCAAGAATTATCACCTATATAGTATGTGAAATCTTTTTCAAATATTTTATGCTTGGTTTAAATTTAGTTATTACAAATCTTGCAAATTTTAAGTCAAAATCAACAATTCAAAAACTATTTATTGAATTTTTAATCTAATGTAGGATATGTTAAGAGTTTGTTTAGGATTTAGGATTTGATTAAGGATTGATTAAAGTTATTTTAGTATCTAAGATTTATTTAGGATTTACTTAAGATTTGATTTAGAGTTTGGTTAAGATTTAGGATTTATATAAGATTTGATTATGATTTGATTAGAATTTATTTAGGACTTTATTAAAATTTATTTAGGATTTGATTAAGATTTGATTAGGACTTAATTAAGATTAAGGATTTTATTTGGATTTGATTTAAGATTAGAATTTGATTAAGATTTAATTAGTATTTGATTAAGATTTAAGATTTTATTAAAGTTTGTTCTAAGATTAGGATTTAGAATTTAATTAATGTGTGATTAGGATTTAGGATTTCATTAGGATTTGTTTAGAATTTGGTTTAGGATTTCATTAAAGTTTTTTGAAGATTACATTAGGATTTTATTAAGGTTTAATTAAACAATTTACTTTTGATATTTTTTTAATATTTTTTTTGATATTTTTTTATTATATA